GTGGGGGGATGCTCCAACCGTCAGCAGAGTTTGACATCATCTAATGGTAGCTGCGAACGTGAAGGAAAAGCGCCTTTAGTGCAAAGGACAGACCGCGCTGGGATTAATCTGGTCACGCAAGTTAGGGGAGAGAATCTCAAGAAAGCTCGATCAAGAGGCCGCTGTGCCCTTTGTTGGTGGCATGGGCAATGAAGTGGTTGATTATACGAGGTGCCCATCAGGAGGTCAGGTCGGGTCGGTTTGCTAGCCAGATTGAGGGCTCAAAGCGGCTATCGTGGCACAAGCCGACCGCGCTCGACTCGCCACCTCAAAAACAAAACGCGTTTGTTTTCAGGCGACTAGTCGGGCGATCATCCCGACCCAACCCGACCAGACCCGATCCCATCCACAATGTGCACCTCGTATTAGGCTATCACATTCGTAATTGTTGGATTGGGGTTTCGATATTCAGGGTTCAGCTCATTCCAACGTTGTGTCCTTGGGATGGGTACTTTACGCGAATTTTTCATTCGGTCCTATCAGAGAGAGACTTTGGTCACTTTGAAGTCGGAGCTCTCACCTCTTAAATAAGTAACCTTTCAGTGTTGCAAGAGGCGTAAAAACTAGACCTATTGTACACTTTCGCTTTTTTTTTTACTATGATCTTTTGTTCCCTGAACTTTTTAGAGCAACCTTACTTTTACTTGACTTTCTCCGTCCTCTTGTACCTCTAGGGCGTCCAGGGAATAAAGAACTTCCTGTCTCTGGCAGTTTGATGGCCTGGCTGGGTGGGAAATTGTATCATGTTCTCAGGGTATCCTTCACACCCTGGATCCAGGTCTTTCTTGGTCTTCCTCTTGCCTTGTACCTTGATACTTTCCTGTAGTAGGCTTTACTGGCAAGCTGTTGAGGTGCCATATGTGTGAGATGTCAAAACCACCTGATTGTTTGCCTCTGAATGTAGTGGAGGACAGGTGTTGTTCCCACCATTTCTCTGATCTTGTTGTTTCTGACCATGTCCCGTCTGGTTTTGTTGACGGCTCTCCTCAGACATCTCATCTCGCAGGTGGTTATCTTACGTTCCAGACTTTTGGTCAGGGTGCATGTCTGGCACTGGCAGGTCAAGATGGGGATGAAGATAGAGTTAATGAGCTTGGCTTTGGTCTCAATGGGGATGAAGATAGAGTTAATGAGTTTGGCTTTGGTCT